AACAAATTCAAGATGTCATATCCCGCTAATATGGTATTCTGAGCTCTCCAGGTGTTTCTTTTCATATAGTCATAACACCATGACAATATATTGAAACCTTGATTGCTGAATAGCCCAAAAAAACATTTTAGTGATCTTCAACCATCAGGGTACGCACTGCTTTACTCTAGGCATAATACGAGTGACCGCAATTCTAAGTTGATACATTTTCTACTATTGGGACATGTGAACAAAAAGACCACAAGCAGCAACGAAGATGAGAGTTCTTAAGTGCCTGTAACAAAACATTTCGAATATTCAATAAACATTAACACTGTTAACAAATGAGATAAACCACAACACAGAAACTACACTGCAACCAAACTAGGAATGTCAAGGTCAAGTAGGGTTTACATTCGTTTTGCCAAAAATAAAATACTGAGCACTTTAGAGCAATAAAACACCACTTGGAAGATTACAGCTTTTCATACATCATTCTGTTTTGTGTAAAAATACGTGTAGATAATGTCCACTGCCCGTGCAAAATTGACCTTATTTGTCTGAACTTTGATCGTATCAGTCACAACTGCCTCAGTGACAAACCAATGTTAAATGTCGGCAAATCACTACTTATGAACTGGTTTTCCTCGTATTTGCGCAGCCGTTTTTGAAGAAACCGAATGCGCAAGTGGAGTTCATTAACTGAACCTCCTCTCTTTCCAGCTTGCACAGACAACTTGCCTCTGAACGTTCCCTCTGAGACCCTTCTTCTCGCCGACACCGTGAAATTATCGAAAAAAGACAAAATTCAAGGAGGCAGTGTTTTGCCAATGGAAGGCTGAACTCAGCCTCAAAACTGGGCAGCTAACAATGAGCTTGTAAATAACCCATTCAAAATGTGAGGCTGTTCATGTAAAACACGACATTTCGTGAATGTTGTCCCAAAAACACAGGACTAGAAGCAACACACGAGGGGAAGAATTTAGATTTTTTGGTCCCTACAAAGCTTAGAATCCTATGCCAAATATGACTGAAGAGCATTCCATTTGAATCCAGCGAGAATCACCCAGACGTGTTTTCAGGAAATTCACTCTTAGATGCTTCCACCAAATTTCGACGGCTTAACAAATCTCTGGCGGAGATTTGTTAAGCCGTCGAAATCTCCGCCTAACCTAGCCTGGTTAACTAGTTTACTAGTTACTAGCCGGTCCTAAGCCCGGGTAAAGAGGGAAGGTTCGGCATAGGGCTAGCAACCCTACCCCGTAAAACAAATCTAACCGCTAAAGAAACTTCAAAGCACAAACAAAATATAAAAAATGAAAACAAACTTATTCCCCGCTGGAATCGGAGAGGCGAAATGACGCCAGTTGGTGAAAGCCTTCGGGAAGCCAATTGGCCGATGTGTCTTCTCTCGATGAAAGCGAAGGTAAACGTGGGGACATGGAATGTCCGCACGATGTTTGAACCCAGTAAGGCAGCCCAGATTGCAAGGGAGATGAGAAGGTATAACATCGAAGTGCTTGGGATTTGCGAAAGCAGATGGAATGGGAGTGGACTCTCCAAACTGTCAACTGGAGAATCAATAATCTACTCCGATATTGTCACCCAGACGCCAACCACGAGCACACTGAGGGAGTGGCTATCATGATGTCCTCAAGAGCATCGAAGGCTCTCATGCAGTGGGAACCAATCTCCTCCAGGATCATGACAGCAAGATTCAACTCAAAAGGAAGAAAGGTCACAATCATACAATGTTATGCACCTACAAATAATGCAGAGCAAGAGAAAAAGGAGGATTTCTACAGACAACTTCAATCAACACTGGACAAGACGCCAGTTGGCGATATCAAAATTCTAATGGGCGACATGAATGCCAAACTGGGAGGGGACAACACAGGAAGAGAACTAACCATGGGTCGAGAGGCACTAGGTGAAATGAATGAGAATGGAGAATTGTTTGCAGAATTCTGTGCATTCAACGATTTGGTGATTGGAGGCAGTGTGTTCAAGCACAAAGATGTCCACATAGCGACGTGGATTTCACCAGATGGACACACTAAAAATCAAATCGACTTCATCTCAATCTCAAGAAAATGGGGACGCAGCCTACTTGACACAAGGTCAAGAAGAGGAGCAGATGTAGGTTCAGACCACTATCTAGTGCAAGAAACCTTCGAGATCAATTTAAAAGCCTTCAAGGAAGCTGGTGATAGACCACAACCCAAGTACAACACTCGGAAACTGAAGGATGAAACTACAAAGGAGATCTTCAAGGCAGCCATCAAGACAAAATGGGAGACATCGAGCAACATCCCTGAAGAAACCTGTGTGGAAGAACACTGGAAGTCTTTGAAAGCTATGTGGAAAGAAACCTGCACAACAGTATTAGGAAGGAAGAAGAAAGAAGATGTGGAATGGATCTCGACGGATACCTGGAAGCTGATAGAGGAGAGGAGGATGGTGAAGCAGAAGATAAACCAGTGCAAGGATGCTCAACGACAAGAGGAACTGAGCACAATGTATAAAACACTGGACAAAGAAGTGAAGAAGAGTGCACGCAAAGACAAAAGACACTTCTACGAAACACTGGCAAGTGAAGCAGAACAGGCTGCAGGTAGGAGAGACCTGACGACATTGTATCAAATAACCAGGTTGCTATCAGGGAAGAGACCAACACAGATGAAACCAATAAAAGATGAAGAAGGAAATTTAATTACAAAAGAAGAGAAACAGAGGAAACGATGGGCCGACCACTTCAAGAAGCTCTTGAATCGACCACCACCTGCACTTCGTCCAGAAATACCACCTGCAGCCGCTGAACTACAAGTGAACATTAATCCCCCAACGAAAATGGAAGTTGTGAACGCCATAAAGCTACTGAAATGCGGGAAAGCAGCAGGACCAGATGGAATACCGCCAGAAGCACTGAGAACAGATGCAGAGACAACAGCGGATATGCTCACACCACTATTGCAGAAGGTGTGGAAGGAAGAGAAGGTACCTGCCTATTGATTGGAAGAAGGGTTACCTTGTCAAACTGCCGAAGAAAGGAGACCTCAGTGCCTGCAAGAACTGGCGCGGAATCACTCTCCTGTCCACCCAGAGCAAGCAAAATATTAAGCCGCATCATCCTGGAGAGGCTTAAAGACGCACTGGATTCAAAACTGCGACCGGAACAGGCAGGCTTCAGGAAGTACAAATCATGTGCAGACCAAATTGCAACGCTTCGTATCATCATAGAACAGAGCATAGAATGGCAATCAGCTCTCCACCTCAACTTCATCGACTTTGAGAAGGCCTTTGACAGCGTCGACCGAGAAGTAATTTGGAAACTGCTTCACTACTACGGAGTGCCGCAAACCTTTATCCGCCTCATTCAACAACTATATGAAGATGCCACATGCCAAGTAATCCACAATGGGAAGCTCAGTGATGCTTTTGAAGTGAAAACAGGAGTGAAACAAGGTTGCCTACTATCCCCCATGATATTCCTTATTGTGGTGGACTGGATCATGCAGCAAACAGTGGGCAGCGAGAAGAGGGGGATACACTGGACGACGGAAAAGAACCTAGAAGACTTGGATTTCGCCGATGACTTATGCCTAATGTCACACAAACTTGAAGATCTGCAGGCAAAAACTAACAAGTTGATACAAGAGGCAGCTAAGACGGGACTTCAGGTGAATATAGAGAAGACAGAAGTGATGAAGATACCGCACCACCACCATCAACAACAACAACAACAAACTCCAATCACCGTCAACGGGAGAAACTTGAAGGAAGTAACCTCCTTCACTTATCTAGGAAGCACTGTTTCAACTACAGGCGGGACGGACGAGGACGTCAAAGTCAGAATCGGAAAAGCAAGACAGGCGTTCATTAGCCTGAAACCAGTGTGGAGATCTTCTGCACTCAGCATGCGGAACAAGATACGGATTTTCAACACCAACGTCAAGTCAGTGCTCTTGTATGGCTCAGAGACTTGGCGCGTCACGAAAGGATTTCCAATAAACTACAGACATTCATCAGCAACTGCTTACGCTCGCTGCTGAAGATCAGATGGCCAGAAAGAATAAGCAACAAGGAACTCTGGGAACGAACCAACCAAGAACCTATCACACAACAAATATGCAGGAAGAAGTGGAGATGGATTGGGCATGCACTGAGAAGGCCGACTGAGGACATCACGCGTCAGGCCCTCGAGTGGAATCCCCATGGGAAGCGACGAGTTGGACGTCCGAGGGTGACATGGAGGAGGTCGTGCGAGGAGGAAATGAGAGGTTGTGGGCTGTCGTGGAACCAGGTTCAAAAGATCTCGGAGAACAGAGGTCACTGGAGACGTGCTACTGAAGCCCTATGTTCCACTAGGAACCCAAGGGACTGATAATAATAATAATAATAATAACAAATCGCCAGGAATCTAAAGCTATTGTCTCTTAACTATTCCTTCTGAAAAGAGAATCAAGCCTGAAATGCACCCAGAGTCGATCAACTGGATCTGTTTTAGGACTTAGGTTTGAAATATATGATGAATAACTTGTCGCTTCTGGTCCTTATCCCCTTAAAAAAAGAAGACCAGGAAGGTTTTCGAAGCCAAGTTAAAATATCTTCTACACACCTGTACTCAAGCTGCACCACCTAGTCGACCTTATTTGTAACACCATTATTAGAGAGAGAAACTAAACCCGGAAAACTACAGGTAATATTTCGAGCACAGTTTCTGTCCCAAAGAGTTGATAAATCTTGGAAACGTGTTTCTGCCCCGATCCGTCCAGCCGACTTGGTTTGAGTCCTTTAAAATCCTAATCGACCCTCACTCACGATAATCCTATGAACTTAAACACAACTAGCCTGCTTTCCACATTTTAACCGCATTCTTTTTCTCCCTCGTTATTTGTAACCTATAAACGACTGTCTGGATCTGCAGTTCTCTGTCTCTAGATATAAAAGTCGAGTAGGCAAGGGCTATTTTTATTCTATTACAAACCGTTTTAAGATGTTTATTACCTGTTGCGTTCTGAATGCTCCCTTTGCCTGCTTTTACAGCTCTTTTAAGGTAATAGGGCATCAGATTGTGTCTTATGCTATACTATTCGTGTGCAGACTGTTGACTTGAGCCTTCAATACTTCGCGGGAAGTCACCAAGGATGTTTGTGAACAACAGGGTTAACAAATCACAATGACTTATTTAATGGGTGGAACCACATGAAATACGTTTAACTGGTGCGGTTTTCACCACAACTCAGATCATATTTACCAGGGGTGGCAGTCTTAAGTTAAGTTGAAGTTAGATGAAGACATTCATGTCCGTAGCCATGAAGTTGAGATGAACTGCTCAGTAGTGACATTACTTCCTGCAAATAAGTACTGAATATCAGGCAACAGCGCCTGGGTGGGACTCGTATTTCTACGATAAGGAAAGAAAATACTCTCCGTGACGCAGGATGTAGGAAGGCCGCGTTCGTTAGGCAGTGACGAGTTCAATTCAATAAATCAATTAAATGACGACAAATGCACGAAGATTTCACGTTTACTTCCACAATTAACTGTCCCTAGCCAAACCAGATCCAACTTCTTTCATATTGCTTTTCGACTGTTATATCTCTGTTAATAATAGGTTGAAATGCTTGCAAATTATTGTCATTCAGCCCATTAAATACAATTGTATAGTGTTTCCAATCATGAACCCCAATCTTCCTGACTATGTCCAAATAGATCATCTGACGCCCAACCACACTACCAGGATTAGGGCCGCACAAGCATCACAGCGCACTTGAATAAAATAAATCGCGCAACTCTGAATGGGGATGACGAAAAGCCATCACTCAGTCTGCAATTTCTCAAAACTGTTCGTAGTATCCGACCAAATACTATGTAAGCCCTTTCTGACCCATGCTGACGTCATCACCCTGAAAAATGGTTGATTGACTGCTTCTACGACTTCCACTGTTGCCTCTAATTACCCTTGCATAAAAATAACTCCGCTTTTTACCGAACTCACACGGTCGTTATTGCGCTGACAACTTCTCAGCCAATGAAATTATTCTTGGTAAAACAATTCGTAGATGTAACCCGTCTGAACCGTGCGATGCATTTTGAACATTCTGATTACGTGCGCACCGGTGATTTAAATGGAAAATTGAGGAGTGAAGTGGTTTGGAAAATAACAAAACTAGAAGACAGAATAACAGCGAAGATTAATAGATCAGCATTAACAAAGAATTAATAGTACGTTGACCCCGGGAATGAAAGCCAAACTAACCAAGGAAGATTTAATGTGTTGACAAACTGTTTTGAATCCACTTTGGTAGCCTACACCTCCTCATGGCTAATGTTTCAACAAACTCCGAAACTTCAGTTGTATTTCTGTGTTTATTAGATCTCATTCTGCTGGTAAACTGCTGCAATATTGTGTTGCTGAAGGAGCACATGTTTGTGCTAATGAAGTGTATGCTCTTATTGAAGTTATGAAAATGGTACTAGAACTGCGTGTGCCTACATCAGGCATTATCACTTTGAAGCGTATTCCGGGTGCTGTTCTAGAACCAGGCACAGAGTTAGCACGTATTGAATTAGATGAATCAAGTCAATTAAAACCTTTGCAAATATTCGCGTGAGTTTTAATGATTATTATTGTTGCTGTTCGTTGTAATTATAACATTCTCATTTGTCATCTACACCTGTGATTATTTAAGTCAGAATTCAACTGATAAGCTTATTGTGGTTTGTTATCTTGGTTCTTTATTTATATATCTGGGTGAAATAAAGATTACTCATCACATACTGTTTTCAAGTTTGTTCGTTTAGTATTAGCAATACTTCTGTAGTCCTGTCTTTATATTTCTCAGCCTGCCTAAATACTTAAGAATGCAAAGGAAATTTTACCACAGTGACGCTATTTTTTGGAGAACGTGACTGTCAGATGCATGGTGTTTTGCATAAAGATTAGTTTACACTGACATCTAGTTGTTCTACCTTCCCGGCGTGCTTAAAATTTGGGATACCAAAACGTTTCCATCATATAACATCAAATTACTCCTTTTGTACTTATTTTAGTTATTCAACTGTCAGCTTATTGTAAAATGTACTCATGCATTTTCAAAATCTTTCCGACTTGTCATCACACAAGTTAACAACAAAAGTGCAAAAAATATCACAGTAGTTGACTGTGGGCTCTTGAGTTCACAACAGTCCATCACGTAAGTAATACTGGGATGGTTAGCAGGAACTGCAAATTTTCATGGTGGCTGAATAATCCACCCCACCGAACCTACGGGTGCTTTCCTATTCGCCCCACTGCCGTGCCAAAGCGTACCTAAAAACAGTTAATCGTTACGTATTATTGCTTACCATACTACTGTTATTAACATTATTTAACTAGGATGGTTATTTAATTTGAAAATACTGTACAAGCAATAAATTTGTAAATATCACTTTGATAATCGCATACTGTATTAACACCTATTGTCTGGAATAAAGTGATTATTATTGCACTGTATATAAAAGCGATAAAATATTTTGACCTTGACTTAGTCAGGAAATTGCATTAGTCTGGTAATGGATGAAATGTCAGTATATTGGTGCTTACTGAGCTGCAAGTTTTTTTGGTCTGTTGAGATGCATGATTGCTTAAAAGCAGTCATGTTCATTGCTTGGAATTTCTTTTCCTTTCACTCTACAGCTGTAAAATCACTTTCTATTCATGAACTTTGAATCGAGATTCAGGTGTTTGTACTAACAGTTGGTGATAGTTTCACTTTTCTAGCGTTTATACTAGTGTATCTGTTTAAAGTTTCTATGCTATCATCCAGCCTTTATAAGTCTGTTTACACATAGTGTTTTACGTGGTATTAACAAACTATTTCCACCCTTTACTATAGGGAATGTATAATGCGAAGTATTCAGACTCGTAAACACTTTTCTGCATCGGTGATTTCCAATCAATATATTTATGAATATATATGAATGAACACCTTCATGGAGCTATCCAGTGTTAAAATTTTTTATTGTTTTCAATCATTTTTATATCTTTAGTGGACCATTCACTCTTCCTACAGAATATAGCGATTTTAGTCAGTCCTCATGTTCACGTAAGGTGTTATTCCCTCCGCAAACTTCAAATTTATTCTATCAGTCACATCTCCGTCAACCAGTCACCCAGCTGAAATTGCAAAGGCTAATGGTGATCATGCCAACTACTGGAATTGTGTTTATTCTAAACTCATGGTAGAAATGATTCAGTGTGCAGTGTAGATTCAACACTCACTTCGTCGTCTAGTACAGTCAGCTTATCGGGATCACGTGTGCCAACTTCTTCAATTGTTGGAAAGTTACATCTTCAATTTTTTCGATTGCTTGCGTCATTAGAGCAAGTATTATTTGGATATTGTTTGTCTGAACCATATTTTAGCAAATCGTTGGTGAAGAATTTGAATCAACTACTTACATTGTTGTATGATCCACGTTTACCACTTTTGGAATTGCAGGTTAGAGATTAAGTTTTATGTTGCCTTGGATTTATTCAATTTAGTTAACTGCATTCACGCTGAATATTTTTTTAAAATTGAAATATATCGACTGGTAACAAATTTGCCTTTGATTAACCGTGATGAGCAGATTTCTTGTCCAGACCACAGCTAAACTAGCATTCAAAGTAAGAAAAGAAACCTTGATGAGCGATGAAACTGATCATAAACCGACTTGAAATGAAGGCCGAATGGGTTGGCTTTGTACAAAGCGATTATCAGCAAGGTGAGCTTAAAACAGTTGACCATGTGGACAAAATCCATCAAAAATTAGCTGAAGCAATCGAGGCAAATGTTGCTACCTGACTGGCTAGACTTTGGTATATGGAGCTGGGTTCGAATCCCTGACTCATCGGTTGGAAGTCAGGTTCTTAGATCAACGAGCCACAGCCCAAGAAATTCGGATATCTTGTTCAGCTTCACCTGCCTGGGAGATGGAAGTATTTTTTATTCTGAAGTTTGTGTCGCTTCTGGTATTCTGTTTAAATATCCTAGATAGTTTAAGATAACGCATTTAGGAATATAATTTGTAGGCGATTTTCTCGAATCCAAAGTATCATATTACATCCTGACTACTTTTTCAAATGCATTTTTGTACTTTACTGTTGTAAATATAATCTGGAGGGATTACACATTTTTAGAATTTATTTAAAACAAGAAACCCGTTGTTAATCACATTGCCTGATGAATTCGGTGGTGGCAAATGCTTTTAAACCAATCTAATGATTTAAGACTTGACTGCCCGTCAACCACTATCAACACAGGACTCTGAATTACTGAGTAACACTGAAATTTGTCACACCTCTTAACACCACATTGAGGTATAATGAAACAAAACAAAGACAGAAAACAAGTAATAATGTCAAAATTCGTAGGAAATCGCAAGAAGAAATGGAAAAGTGAATAAAGTAATCAGAACAATTGTAGCAAAATTAGCATCATGTATCCTATGGATTTTCGCAAGCTGCTTTACAACCTATAGAATATAATTTTAATGATGACTTACTTTCATAAATTTTTTTCGAGGAGGTATCGATTAAGATGGAATGTAGGCTGACTGAAATTAGTGAAATTTGATGATGTCAAACTGCTCAAAAGTTAAATACTTATTCACTGATAGGATGAACGTTATAGAAAAGATAGCAGGATTTATGAGGTAGTTGTAGACAATATTGTTCTCGAATTGGTTAAAAGGAAATGACAGAATAATTGAGCAAGTGTACTAAAAGGATTTTTAATATATTGAGTAACAACATGAGTGCAACTCAAAAAATGAGACCAGGTTTTGAAATAGATTGAAGTCGAAAAGGCATAGGGATATGAAGTCATGAGATCTTTTAACTACAAATTTCGGAGGAGAAAGTTTCCGAGGTAGATCAAGATTGATAACTCGATCCTTTTAAACACACTAGTCAGGCTGTAGTTTTTGAATTGTAACTGCTTTAGCAAAGCGCAGAAGGTTGCTTTTCAGGTATTGACCAAGTTTAATGCATCTACGTTATCTCGCATCAAGTAAATGGCCTGCGATTGCACTATTTCAACTCTATGAACCTATAAAACCCAAATCGTCCGGAGTCTGACCAGAAATGCGAACACGAGAACCCTTCTCTCTGTTCTTCCAATGTATATGTTTTGGCATGTATGTGTGATTGATAGAGATGGAGTTAGAGGCAACGGAAGTTGGAAAACTTGCCCACTCTTGACTATACTAATGACCAGTTATTATGAGATACACAGAATTTCTTGTTGGATGGATAAGTACTTTTTCACTGCAGCACTCAGTTCCTGATTTGGTCCTTAGGGTAATTTCATTCTCTTTGCAGGAGATATATAAAAGAACGAGTTTCTTCTCCACTCTACCGCATTTGATTCTTTTCGTTTTCTGTCTTACCGTAATTGTAGAGGACATTTTGTGGGTAACTATTTCTTTGTATTTTGTCCTCAAAGAACAATTTACGTGTGTGGTTGAAAAGTGTTCTTATCTGATATTTTTGGTGACATTGGACAAAGTTCCATTTCAGTGATGTGTGTGTAGAATGCTATTTGATGGATTCCATATTTCAGTTTTACGTATTCCAGGCTCCTCATAAAGATATATCAGTGAACACAGGATCCAAAAGGTCTACTCATAATGACTTCATCGACATGCCGATATCAAACGTTTTGGATTGAACGCTAGTGTTTCTTGTCCACATCAGTGGAAGGTGTTTGAATTCTTTCCTCAAATATGTCTCATAATAGACATAATGTCGAAGTACGAAAGTCATTGAAATTGATGCATAAACAACTGAAACGCAACGTTTACCACTTTGCTGAAACATTCGCAATAAAAGACTCAAACCTTACCTTTGCATTCAGCAAGGAACTGCCCTCTATTTTGTCATACCTTGCTAACTTCATTATCCTAACTGTGTAGCTAAAAATGCCCTCATTTTCTGTTTCTGATTTATATATACTCCTTCGAGATGAATGTTTTAAGTGTTGCGTATTTCAAGCTAGTCTATCTTGACCTGTAATGTTTACCACGGTAGTATGAGGTTGGTGGAAAACTGAAAGCGACCACAAGCAGGCGTGATGCCAATTCATGAAGTATATGACTGTTGTTTTGAGTCACGTAAGCATATTTAGCCAACCTGACGGGTACTCAAGAGCATAGAAATAAATGGTTGCAAACTATTTATTACATGGTTCACTATATATCAAGTTATAATATATATATATATATATATATATATATATATATATATATATATAATATTCATTACCCAAAATTTCTCAACATCTTACTAGCGTTTGTTTAATGAATTCCTATACAACCTGTTCTCTCGATCATTTCCATCAAAACAATAAGAACACGATGAAGAGATTATTTTCTCTGCCACCATACTCCCTTTTCTTTATTTTGACGTCATTTCATTGGTGATGTGGAGTGAAATGTGACGAGGTGAACTGATAATGGATTTCTATCTGAGGTTCTATATTGCTTTAACGCATCTGTATATCACATAAACCAACAGTCATTCATCTTTCAGAATTATCACATCACAGTTTCAAAATCTGAAACGCCTGTTGAGGTCTCAGTAGAGTTATGCATCAAGAATCACCTCTCAAATATTATGTATAGCAATGAAATCTAACTACGTTCAGTAACATACTGAGGTGCTTACAAATACCTACAACTTCATCACATATACGGACTGCTGATTCAACAGGAAAAACCAGTTCACTATTGTTACCCTAATAAATTGATACCATTATTGTTATCATCATCATCAACACCACATATTTATTACCGCTTGCATTGAATAAAAGAATAGTAACCTCGACATTATTATGAGCAGAATGTTTATTCTACATTCCGTCTACAGTAGGTTATGTATATCTATCTTAATACTGGTTAAATTACTGTTTCATTGTGAAATACATTTTGTAAATAGACAAAAATGGAATCATACATTGTAACACAGACTAAATCGTAAGAATCTGTTGATGAGATTAATGCTATCCGCCTTCAACTGATAGCCAATTGTTTGGTCGGTGACATGCTGAAAAATGTTAAATCAGCTATGGTTTCTGTGAATGCTTGATATCTCTATAAATGCATACAGTAAATGAAGTGTATGAAGTTTACATGTAAGTTCCCACAGTGCATCTGAGCTCAAACAATTTTGAGAAATATTTACTTCTCTGTGAAGGAAGAGCGAAAGAAAACAACAATATAGACGTATGCCCACTAGAACGTGAGTACGTGTCGCATGGTAGTCTCACCAACAACCGTGAAACACGGTCATGAATGTTGTAGGCAATTACGACACTTCCGATCTTCTGTCGCCATTGTCTTTGGGGCTCACATCTGTGTAAAAACATAAACCTAAGGTATATAGCTTCGAGGAGGAAAATCAAACTGTCTATTGAAGTTGTAAAGGTTCATCAACTCATAACCAGGAGATGAGTCACGTATAGTCAGTCACTATCTCTTCCAACGTATATTTTTAGCTGAGGTTAACGGAAGATAAACTCATTATTATCTATTATTTTTCCCTTGAGTTCCTAGTGGAATATAGGGCTTCAGTAGCACGCCTCCATTCCACGCTCTTCTCTGCAGTCTTCAAAACCTGGCGCCACGACTACCCACAAGCTTCCATTTCTTCCTCACATGATCTCCTCCTTATCACCCTCTGCTTGGACACCCAGCTGGTCATTTCTATTTTGGATTGCACTCGAGGAACTGGTCTTGCCTGGAGCGTGATGTCCCCAATCGGCCTTCTTAGTGTATGTCCAATCCAATCCATCTCCACTTTCTCCTGGGCGATGGGTTGTTGGTTGGTTCGTAGCCAGCCAGCCAGAGTTCCTTGATGCTTATTCTTATTATTTTGGCGATCTGATCTTCAGTGTGAGTATGGAGTGAGTGTAGGCGGCAGCTGTTGATGAATGTCTGTAGTTTGTTGGAAATGCTTTTCATGACGCGTCAAGTTTCTGACCAATATAGCAGGACTGACTTGACATTGGTGTTGAAAATGCGGATCTTGTTGTTTGTGCTGAGTGCAGTAGATCTCCACACTGATTTCAGATTAATGCAGGAAGCTGTGTCTTGCTATCTTTTGGATCCTGGTTTTGACATCCTCGTCTGTGCCTGTGCCGCCTGTAGTTGAAATGATGCTGCCTAGGTAGGTGGGTAGGTGAAAGAGACTACTTCATTTAGGTTTCTGTGGTTGATGGTGATTGGTGCTTGTTTTTTGTTGTTAGTGGTGGTGGTGGTTGGGTATGTTCATCACCCGTGTCTTCTCTACATTCGCTTGAATTCCCGTCTTCGCTGCCCTGTCTCTTCTGTCAACTTGTTAGTTTTTGTCTGTAGATGTTCGAGTTTGTGCGACATTAGACGCAGATCATCATCGGGGGCGAAATCCAAATCTTCTTCTGGGGTGTTTTCATCGGTCCAGCCAGCATATGCCAATCTTCTCGCTCCTCACAGTTTGCTGCATAATCCAGTCCAGTTGACCACAGTCAAGAAGATCATTGGTGATAGTAGGCTGTGGCCTTGTCTTACTCCTGTCTTCACTTCAAAGACGTGACTTAGCTTTCCATTATGAATCTTTTGGCATGTGGCCTTGTTATATAGCTGTTGAGTGAGGTTGATAAAGGTTTGTGGCATAAAAACTGTAATGTTGAAGCAGCAGCCTGCCAAATTACCTCTCGGTTGACGCTGTCGAAAGCCTTTTCAAATTCGATGAAGTTGAGGTGGAGAGTTGACTGTCATTCTATACCCTGTTCTATGAGGATGCGTAGTGTTGCAATTTGATTCGCATATGATTTGATCTTCTTGAAGCCAACCAGCCAGTTGCAGTCGAAATTTTGGATGCAGCGCATCTTTTGGTCTCATGAGGATGATGCGGCTTAATATTGTGCTTGGGGTGGACAGAAGCATGATTCCTCGCCAGTTCTTGCGAAGATTTATGTCTCTGTTGTTTGGGAGTTTGACAAGGCAGCCGTTCTTCTAGTCAACCAGCAGGTATCTTTTCTTTCCTTCCAAATTTTCTGCAGTAGTGTTGTGAGCATGTCTGCTGTTGTGTCTGAGTCTTTTTTCATTGCTTCTGACGGGATTCCATGTGGTCCTGCTGCTTTCCTGGATTTCAGCAGTTTTATGGCATTCAGGACTTCTGTTTTTGTCGGACGGCATCTGTTCACTGATAGTTCTGTCGTTGCTGGTGTTATTTCTGTACGAGTTGTATATGTTGGTGGTGGTCGATTCAGGAGTTTTTTTTTGAAGTGATCAGCCCATTGTTTCCTTTGTTTCTCCTCTTTGCTAACTTAGTTCCCTTCACTATCTTTCATTGGTTTCGTCTGCATTGATCTCTCGCATCCCAGATAGTAACGTGGTTATTTGATATAATGTTGCCTGTTGTGCTTCATTTGACAATGTGTCGTAGAAGTGTCTTTTGTCTTTCCGCACACTCTTCTTCACTTCTTTGTCCAGTGTAGTGTTTTGTACGTTGTGTTCAGTACTTCTTTTTGTTGTTCATCCCTGCACAACAGTGCACTGGTTTGTCTTCTGCTTCACTATCCTCTTTTCCCTTCTCTATCAGCTTCCATGTGTTCGTCGAGATCCATTCCTTATCTCCTTTCTTCTTCTTCTTCCTTCCTAATACGGTTATGCAGGTTTCTTTCCACATTTATTTCAAAGAGTTCTAGTGTTCTTCCTTATCCGATGCTTCAGGGATGTTGCTCAATGTCTCCCATGTGTTACAATGTATGATTCCATTTTTGTCTATTTACAAAATGTATTTCACAATGAAACAGTAATTTAACCAGTATTAAGATAGATATACATAACCTACTGTAGACGGAATGTAGAATAAACATTCTGCTCATAATAATGTCGAGGTTACTATTCTTTTTATTCAATGCAAGCGGTAATAAATATGTGGTGTTGATGATGATGATAACAATAATGGTATCAATTTATTAGGGTAACAATAGTGAACTGGTTTTTCCTGTTGAATCAGCAGTCCGTATATGTGATGAAGTTGTAGGTATTTGTAAGCACCTCAGTATGTTACTGAACGTAGTTAGATTTCATTGCTATACATAATATTTGAGAGGTGATTCTTGATGCATAACTCTACTGAGACCTCAACAGGCGTTTCAGATTTTGAAACTGTGATGTGATAATTCTGAAAGATGAATGAATGTTGGTTTATGTGACGTAGGGACGCATGAACGAATTTACAAGTTTCGATGGAAGTGGAAATACCGGTGACTCTCTTCTGCATCTTATTAATTATGGTGGAGATTGCTGACGAAGTATTTTTGCGTGATTTACTGACTGAACATTTTTATAAAATAATAATTAGTTTTTTTATGATTTCCATTTCTCACCATCACCTGTTTTTGTTAATTTTTTAATGTACTTTGTTCATTCTGTCCGTTCACGCTGGGATTATGGGTTGGGAGACATGTTTAAAGTTTGTTCTTTGTATTTGTGTAGGATACAATAGCCCATTTGAAAGGTCAACTGCCACCTACAATGGAGAAGGCCTTACGTCTTCATGCAAAAATTTATGCCGATCAAGCAACTTCAGTGTTGGCCAATTTCCCATCTGATCAAATTCTGCAGATAACTGAAAAACACTTGAAACAACTTAATCCGGATGCAAGTATTAATTGTTCATCGACGGACCCGGTGGTATCGGAATTTCAACGGATTACTCAACGATTGGTCGATCTGGCTGAACGTTATCGTAATGGTCTGCGTGGTCATACTGTTCGTGTGATATCTCAGTTATTCATGGGCTATGTTGTAATTGAGAAACACTTCCAACACGGTTAGCCTTGCTTATTTGTTCGTTCTTTTTATTAGAAATATTTTACTCTTGTTTGTATGGTACAGTGTGTGTCGAAGATGCTTATGATAATTTTCTTGGTTACGTGTTAAAGTTTCAATTTGGAGGTTTATAGGGATTTATTTATTGATTTCAAGTTGCCATTTATCAAGAACTCACATCAGTTGGACAAAAATTAGAAACGTAGGAGCACTGGCGGGGTCGTGGGTGCTCACTGCCCAGCCGTTCCACAGCTATCCAAAGCTCTCAGGTTTCTAATGTTCCTCTGAGTCATGTCAATTCATGATGAATATCATCCTGAAATTAATAAATAAATCTTCATAAACCTCAAAATTTAATTAATCTAATCCTCCTTGGTGACTAGCTTCGAAAAGTGATTCTCGTAGTTCTGATGAGAAGTCGTGACCGATGGGGGTCAACCAAGTCGAACTTGAATGCAGTTACTGGATGATGGCAATGAACGGAGGTCGTGCTATATCATGAGCTGACAGAAGTAGGAGATATGTACCATTGGATTCGGGCCCAATGGCCTAATGGTAACGTTGCTGGCCGTGGAACCTGAAGGTCCTGAGTTCGATTCCTGGCGGGGTGGGGTCACGGATGCGCGCCACTGAGGAGGAAATGCTCCCAGGTTTTTAATTTTTCTCCAACTGACTGCAGTCCATGATGAATACCAACCTGATAAAGTTCCGTAGACATCATCTGTCAATTATGGTCTATCTTTGAGGCATATTGTCGAACAAATTTTCAAACGAAATAGTTGATGTACTTCGTCATGCAAGAAGTTCATAAAAGTGAGAATGGATGAATCTTTCGAACTAACAGTGAAGTCTCATCAGCTGCGTACAAGTTTGAAAATGCCGTAAAATTCTAGAGTTCGGTATCCATCAGAAATTGAAATACTAATCTTGGACAAGGTTTTTTTCATTATCAGTTCAGGTGAAGTTAAGTGATCAGGGTAATGCAAGGAAAAGGTAAGGCGGGGAAAAAACAACAACAAAAGAATCAAACAGGTTATTACTACAACCACGTACTGCTTTTTTGATAAAAAGGTGAATATTTAAGCTGGAACTTACGTTGGTCTCTATCAACCGTAGGGCCTTTGAATTTAGTCTGTCGAATTCGTACATCATATATAGCGAATGTTACGGAATCGAAGTGGCTTCCGCTTCCTGTGATATGTCCAACAAAGCGCTTACATACCAGTTTTTATACCTTCCCAGTTTATCTATGGTTTCAATCGTATTTAAATAGACAAACACAGATGATATGAGTGGTATTTGACTGGTATTTCTGCAGTTTTGTTTTTGAAACTCAAGGGAGTTGATTGGCTTCGACAGGTTGAACCTTTTTGATTGGTCATGATGTGCTGGATGATTTCCTTTAGCGTAGTATATTGTAATAGTACAAGCACCGTGTTTAGGTCTGTGAAAAATTCAATTTTTCACACCTGTTGTGTGAGGGCCGTTAACACTATTTAAGCGTCCAAATTTAAGTAAGTAAAATTGGTTTTGAGCCAGTGATTCTCTGAACTAATTACCCAATACTCCCTTTGATTCAGTAATTATCAGTTGATGGTGAAAGTCTTTATTCATATGGCGTTCTTACTCATACTTACAGCTAATTTTCACTTTTCTTTCAACCGTGCTTTTTCTTGGAATTCCATTGATAAGTAATCAATAACCAAATGTGTATTATGATGCGGTATACATTCTCAAAGATACTGATTACTTGTGAAGTTGCTGCGAAAGTGGTGTCTGGTGTATTATTGACGCTCTTTTATCATAATTTTGTATCGAAGTATTTTCCTTACCGTTTCGTTTATTGATGAAGTTTCTAGCACATTACATCATTTATGCGTCTGAAAGGAATCTTTCCATGATTATCATTTGTTTTTCCTAAGATAAAATCTATTCAATTCCCATGATCAGGTATTTCAAAGAAATTTAACTTTATTTTTGGTTTAGGTCAATACGATAAGTGTATTCGGCATCTACTTGCAAGATGTCAAGGTTCTACACTTTGGGGTAGTGCACCAAAATCTGGCATCTGTCCTGGAGAGAATACAACAATTCAAGATGATGGATTGAATAATTTGACTATTCACTTAGTCCCATTCAGTTTTCGTAATCTAATTCAACCAAATTCAATCTCAGATATTGTCTCAGTTATCTTTTCACATCGTCAACTTGCAATGAAAAATGTTTTAATTGTCAATCTTATCAATTCACTAACTGAAAGACGTGAATTAAGTATGGCCGATAATTTACAGAGTTGTTTAAAAGCATTAACTGAATTAGGTGGTTCAAGGAATTCAAAAGTGGCCTTAGCAGCACGTCAACTACTCATCTCTGTACAAACACCTTCGTATGAGTTAAGACGGAATCAAGTGAGTAATATATCCATAGCAGATTTGTTTATTTGATTTATAACACACAGTGATCTAGTATTATTTACTTGATGACGTTTTGAGCATAAATTATTGCTCATAATCATATCAATGTAATCACACTACTTTCGACATTTGATTTTTATAGTTATGTCACTTTATATGAGTTGTTTGTATTGGTAGCAAAATTTACCGTATTTTTGGTATACATTTAGTCCTACACCAAAAATATGGTGGCGATATGTGGATGACACATTTACTGTGTTGAAATCGGAACATATCGAGAATTTCGTCATGCGTATAAACTTATTAGTAAACGCAATTCAATTCACTTACGAGGTAGAAAATGAACAATGAAAATTACCTATGTTGGATTTCAGAAGAAAACGAAGAACAGACGGTGGCTTGGATACTACTGTCTACAGAAAACCAACACATTCCAACAGGTATCTAGACTTCAAATCATCCCATCCAATATCAGTTAAGGCAGGATTAGTCAAATGTCTAAATGATAGAGCTAAAAAACTGACTAGTTAATGCAAGAACCTAAACAAGGAATTGAAACACGTAAAAGAAGCGCTAATAGTTAACAATTATCCTCCGCAGTTTATTAAGAAATTCTTACAGACACAAAAAAAGAGAAAATAACAGTCACACGAGTGTGACTAATAACGACAACACGAGTAAAAAGGAGTTCACAGCCTCCATTGTATTAGCCTATAAGAAGGGTACCTCAGAAACTTTACGTAGAATCCTGAACAGAGCTGGAATTAGGGTGGCATTTAAACCTACAAACTCACTCAGAGATAAACTTTGTTGGCTTGAGGATCCGATAGAACCAATTAAGCAAAATAATATAATCTATCAAATACCATGTAATGACTGTGAGGTCAAGTATATAGGTCAAACTAGTCGGTCGGGGTCAGTTCGAATAGCCGAACATAGGAATTTAGCTAAATATAGAATAACAGACATAAATAAGATCAATAATCTAGTAAAAAAAACTCGGCTATCGCTATGCATGCATTAACACACAACCACACAATAGGGTGGGATAAGGCCACTGTACTTAAGTCCAATATAATTAGGTGGAGATTGAGAGAGATTGATTACTGAATCTTTCTTCATCGAATCAACACTCAACATATGTAATAGGCATGACGCATCACCTATACCAGAGATATGGGAAATTTTGCTACCAATATATAAACCACTCATATAAAGTGACATAACTATAAAAATCAAATGTCGAAAGTATTGTGATTACACTGATATTATTATGAGCAATAATTTATGCTTAAAACGTCATCAAGTAAATAATACTAGATCACTGTGTGTTATAAATCAAATCAGCAAATTTAATATGTAATTATTTTTTATCATAGTGCCGAAGTTTCACACCTATATTAATGACTGAGGTATCCGAGTGTATATTCTTTATTATGTTTACACTAGTTATGTCATACGGCGAAGTTGAATGCAGCTTATGAAATTTAAGTTGTTTTCTGTGCCAATTGTTGTGTTATCTATATGGTGAAGTAAAAGTAGTACTACTGCTTGTTTTTCTTCTGAGTTTCTTATACTTTCCAGTTATTGTTAGCATTTAAAGTGAAAAGGAACAATTTTATCAGAATAGCATGGATACAATCCCTCCCTGGATTTTTCATTAGCTGCTCGCAATTCAACATCGAAATGTTGACGTACGTGAATCAGTTCGTTTGAGAATTGTCGATTCAATGAAAATGTTCCATTCTTTTCATCCCACTAATTTGTTGTATTTTGGTGAAGTGTTAACTATCCAGCTAGCTAAACCAAATTCATTTGGAATTAACTTCAGCCTGATAATCTTTATTACTGTTGTTGATGCATGTTAAGTAACACTATCCATTACGCACCCCTATTGTTCCATTTCACACTGTTGGCCTTATTCCTTGAATTCTGCATACTTTCTTATTTGATATAAATCATGTCTCTTACTTTCATATACGTCTACGTCGCATTACTCAATATTTGGAATACATTTATCTTGATTTGTTATTCTTTGGATCTCAGTGAGCAAGAACAAACATTGGAGCGGAATAATTAAGATCCATTTGATATTACAGTGGTTCTCATCAGCTACCTGCAACCTACAATACTTGTAATAACAATACATTTTCATGCTAAAAGTATTTAGGCTACAGGTGGTTGATGAGTAACGTCTAAGTGAACTATGTCCACGTTGTCCTGCTGAAAACCTTTGTTCTCACTCTAGGTAAATTTGATAAGAAAACGAATTTTTGTTGAGATTGTAGGTGGACAGTTATCAGACCAACGTAGAAAATAATTTGGTCACTTTTTCATGTGACGATTAACAACTATGTCAAGTGCCGTACTTCACTTATTGACAACTTTGTAGTGGAAGTGAATACTGCCTTTAACCAGTGTTTCTGAGTTGACAGTGATCACGTAATAACATTTTTTTATTCAGTTAATTTTGGCTAGCGATGTCTCACACACATCAATTTTAGTAAACTGAACATTTCTGCTGTATATCTGTATGCAGTGTGGTTAGTCATTGTCTCTATTCTGGTTCTAATATGAAGGTTTTTAAAGCTTGAAGACATCATTCTTGTCATATTGTCGATTGTTTGTTCTCTTGAATGTTTTCACTTTATTTCCGAGAACATCTTACTGTAACGATCACTGTAACTCTCTATGGTGTGATTAACCGACAAGTGTGAGGTGGTCTCACAACTCTGTCAGAACTCATTCTCCTTCAGACCAGTGTCCAACATCCTTACCTTCTAATTTTCCTTCACATCTTTCGGGCAACATTCCTACATCATCTTTAATTTATTCCAGCTTTACAGCTCTTCACAACGATCTGAGTTCATGGAACAGCATCACTGGTCTCCTAAAAGCGAACTATAAACTGGACATTGGAGATTTTATTGTCCGCAACCCCCGTCAAATCCGTCGTCAAGCTTAGCTAGTCAAAACTCTTGCATCTTGGGCGATGGATGTGTGATACTTTTGTGAAAAATGATCTGAGTGTAGTTATTCACTTGAAGTCATCTGATCAATATGGTTAATTTGCAAAATTCACTTTTCTAGTTTCTGGAGATTCGACGGTTACTTCTCGTAGTCTTGGAGGTTTAGATGTAACATTAAGTGCTAAGGCAGATTAACTATATAGCTGTCAGTTGTCTCTGAAGAGAGTCGGTGGAAGATTGTCACACCTTCTGGAGCATGTGTTTGGACATTGACTTGGTACTGGTTGGAGCACGCGTATGTCTGCACCTGAACGGACGTGGGGCAACCTCAACAGCAGGACCATTGCGAATTCTGCTGAGTAATCAGAATATTAGGGTTGCTTTCAGTGACTAATCTGGTAGAAAGTTATTGGTACAGAACAATATCACTCATATAAAAGAAGCCTGTTGCCATTTCCAACCTGTTATAAAAACTGCGATAAGGATCACAGTTGACTCTTTCAAGTTGGTTAGAAGGAGCTAGTGGGTCTTGGAAGCTTCTTCCAGATAACTGGATGCAGGCTCCGAACACAATGAAGAGCGGGAGCAGCTCAAATGTAAGCTGACTTAGTGACCGAGGATAGTGATGGTCAGTGTAGGCTTCAGAGAGGATAAAGGCAGTGGCAATAGGTAACAGTATACAATTATTTAGACTTGTCAAAGGTGCTGAAGTGAAAAGGTCAGTGGTTAGTGAGGCTATAGCGGAGAAGAATGAATTTGTGGTTCACTTATAGGAGAGGCGATTGGAACAATAGGCGGGACATTTCGAAGAACAGTTGAAGTGGCCTCCAACTACTGAGCAGTTGATGGCTATCCTATTATACACTGAATGGAACATTGAGATAGGACTCCAAACTCTTGAGGAAGTCGACGAAACTGTACGTAACCTGAAATGAAGAAGGGCAGCACGGTCAGACGGACGATTTTCAGAGGTATTTACGGACGATGATTGTGCATTATTGGTAAAGCTAAGTGAAGTGTTAGCTGGTATGTGGGAGCCAGATATAGTCGCCTCACACTGTTCTCAATCACCAATTGTTCCTATCCCTGAGAGGTCCTCTTATGATAACTATTGGGGAATTTATCCTGAGGAAAATGATGTTTATGATTCTATTTTCTGTAACTGTTAGACGTGTAAGTGGAGCTTGGGGACAACGAACCTGATAAAAGCAAGCGGATTTTGACAACTTGTCATGGTTGTGTCTCTTAGATATTCATCGTCCTCCAGGTTTTGGAACACATACATCGACCCCTACAGACTTCTGATACCAACTGTATTTCTGCATCTTAAGTTGTATCCGTGAAGGATGTTTGGATTCTTATTCAACTTTATCATGGACATACTTATGGAGGTCTCCATGTCGTCGTTCGACTGTACATGCATTGGATGTGCTAACTCATCCAAACTGGAGCCGTAAAACAATGTTTTTGAATTTGTCGTGGTATATGGTAAGCAGTTGCCACTCATTTGTCTATACAAGTGATCTGTTAAGTGTGGAAAGTGTGTATTTTCGGTGTGTGATAGAGGCGATAGATTGACTTACAGCAGTAATTTGTGTTACTTAAGTTCATCTTTTAGTATATCGATATTAGGATTACAGGAGGACGTTTTTATACTTATGACCAAGTTTATGATATTAGTAGAGCTGATTTACGGTTTTAGGTACTTTCTACTCTAGCCATCAGTAGGGTTAGCAGGAAAGACGAGGAATACAATTCGTTTCAGAATGCTTCGATGAGTCTTCTGTATGCTTTCACTCTTATCATTGTTGTTATAGTTCCCTTTACTAGCGAAACTTAAATCTTTCTGTTTCCTTCGTAAAACGGAAACGTCCTTTGGTAGTACCACACAGACTTAAAATGCATTATTGAATTGAAATTTATTGATTTGTGTACAAAGGGAATACTTTATTGTCCACCCTTCTCCGTCTATCTGGCACTAGCTTCAGGGTGTTTGGAAGTTTTGATCAAGTCTTTCGGTCTCGAAGTGCGTTATGCAAGTTATGAAGGTTGTCAGCATTTAAGAAAGGTTGCAGTTCTAGTTTCGTCCTTTTCATTCGAAAAAAGAGTTACTAAATCTCCCTCATAACGATAACTGGTGTTTAGATGAACTATCATTTTCTCTACATCTGATTACTAATCTAAGCTTTCATTTGGAAATCGGTTCATACGGTGATAGCAGCCTTTCTTATCCTCACTTCTCTCCTACCAACTTTCATTTCGTGTGGTCTAACTCATAAGAGACTAAGAAGCAGTATTTCATCCAGTTTAGATAGCCTAGTACAGTTTAGTAATTAAATCCGACATCTACGTCATATGCTGACAACCATTCGCTATCTAATCGGCCGGCTTCAAGTACTGTTTGGCTCATTGATTCAGGTATCCAACTTTCAAGGAATTGGTGTAGGATTGAAAATCACCCTTCACTTACATGGGTTACGTAGTATCGCAAGCCATCATACGACAAGTTTGATAGCCTAGTACATGAACGATCTGTTCCGTAGTGATAAATTGTATTAAGTAGCTTAACACAAGCCTAATCCCACAGAATAGCCTATAAAGGTTTATATTGCCTGTTTTATGTAAACAACAGTGGAAATAAGTAGTTTGTCAACCATAATTTTTTTTTTTTGTTTGACAGTCTCACACCTAGTGAATCTAAACTGAAAGGCGGTTTCGTTAGTTCTGATGATCTGCACAGTTTCATTCTGTTCACAAAAACTCTTTGTAGTAGCGTATTTACTTGATGGTTAGTTTTTTATTTCCACTCAATACATGTGGATACAAAACGTTATTGCATAAATTCTGTAAATTTCGTCTCTTAAGAACGGTAGCAATAAAAGTACACATTGTAATTCACCTTGGAAAGAATTTATGAACACCTTCAATCTACGGATGATGATTGCATTTATCTGCAACCTCAAAGTAGAAGTATTAAATGTTATATCGATTAATTAAATCGTTTGTGTGTGTCTGATTTCATGTCCTTATAAACCAGTTTCTTACTGAGAATTGTGGTTGTTGTAAGCTATTTATTGATTTGTATAGTTCTCTTTTATTTTGTAGACAGTTATCTTTGTGAAGTGACGTCATTAAGGAAACTGCTGAAAACTAAATCAGTAAACCCCACGTTAAAATCGAATAGAGTACTTTTGAGTTCAGTCAATAGCTTGGATCAAAATGGTACATATTTTTTAGATGTAGTCGATGATTTTTTTTTTTTTGCGTTGATGAAGCTTGATTCCCGTTTGCATTGACTGAACTACTTCTCTCTTTCTACATTGCATCGGAATAGGTTGAATCAATTTTCTTGTCAGCAGTGGATACATTTGGCCAACAGTTTCATCCTGGATTATTGTTGCAGCTAATTAATTCTGAGACGGTTGTTTTTGATATTCTAACAGAATTTTTTTATCATCCTATTCAGGCTGTGGCTAGTGCTGCATTGGAGGTAGGTTTTGTGTGCATATGTGTTTGTAAACGCGTACATACGTTGTTTTCTTTACGTATTCGCTTATTGAATGTTTACTCAGAACTATTTTTAACTCAGAGAATATGAAATTCCTAGCAATGGGAAGTCATTTTCAAAGAAATAATAAATAAATAGCATTTTTTTACTTGAAAGCGGAATATCTTCCCACAATTTCAGTATTCAAATAGCTTCTACTCATAGGATGCTTAATATTTTGAAGAATAGTACAGTGAAATGCTGTCTAACTGATATTATTGTGCATTAGTTTCGTGTATATTTGTTTAGACACTTTTTTCGTTGTATAGCGGAGGTGTGTAAGAAACCATTATCTAATGATTACATTTTGGAGCCGCCTGTTCGCATTTCTCGTATGACTGACTAGACTGAAAGGTATGTATGTGGTGAGGGTGATTGAAATGAATCGCTTGAACTTTTCGTATTTACCCTTGACTGTCTCTACCACCGCATGAGCGTTGAAAATATGGCAGAACAAATGGCGGTAAAAATGTTGTTTTGAATGTCAAACTTTAAGTCAGTACAACTTAGATGTATTCTGCTTGTAGAGTTGCCTATTCTGAATAAAGTTTTGAACGTAATTAACTTGGTGATCTCATAGAAAATGTTTGCATTTCTAAATGAAATAAAGCTATAGGTATTGCTGCTGAATGTTCTATGGCTGACTATTTGTACAAATATTATAGTATGCTTCCACTGAATTCTTTGCAGTTTGTGGATGTCAATGAATGAATGGTCTTTTCTGCATTCGTTCACTGAATAGCGCCTTCAATTCATAGAGTGAATCCTATTATAATACTTTCCTCTTCTTTCTTACTTTACTCTGAAGACAGTTTCGTTCTTAAATTTTTGTTTCATATTCTTACTTCATTCACAGAATTTATGGAAAGTAAAAATTACAGGCGACATCTTTTATTTTCCATGACAAACTACCATTCTAAACTTCGCCGTTTCACGGCTATGCTTCACTCAAACTCATGTCTTTTCATGACTGTCTGTTAGAACTAGTTTTCGAAAAATTTTTAGCCTGGCAATATCTTGGAAGAATTCACAGTGGTAGGTGTCATATAAATTTCCCGTCTGAATTGTAGGATACTGGGAAAACTTCACATAATTTTTCGGACAAAAATTATTAACATGGATACATACTACTACTTAGTAGCTTAAGTATTCTTTTGGCATTTTCAGTTTTTCACGTTCCTCACCAAAAAGTTATAGTGATTATCTTACTGTTATTAATAGATTGATTATCAAAACTTTGTAACCGTTTACCTAACACCTTCTTATGCTGTAGACCTACTTAGTATGTTGTCGCGTTGTTGCTTCATGTCTAATCCGTTTGTTTAAAAAAATATTTTCCCGCTAAAATGTGGTTTATTTATTTATTTCCGATCAGGTGTACATTAGACGTTCGTACACAGCATATGAATTAACTGGTGTCCATCATTTCCAATTACCTTGTGGTAGTTCTCTCTTCACATTCCGTTTTATACTTCCAACTGGATTTGTATCCAGGTTAGTACGATTTGATTTTATAAATATTGGATTTCTCCAGTGAAAGTAGTCGGTGAATAAGAAAAATAGCGCCGAAGTCATTATGTTTCATTTCATTCATTCTTGAGTATGATGGTTCAATGAACCTATATCATCGTAGGATCTGTCATTTTGGATGTTGATAACAATTCCTTTTTTTGTCTGTCTACGTAGAATCGATTGCTCATGTTGAGAAAACAGTTTTCGCTTTTTTTTATCCTACAAAAGATAATCTCTTCATCACTAATGGGAAGAAAGTAAACACAAGATCACTATTTTTTTCGTCAGGTTCGTTAGTGTGTGATGCCAATAAGTCGTGTGATCTTTGCCAGTTCAGCTAGAAAGTTATAATGCTATACCATCACATTCCCTGACCATATGTTGGAGTAATTTAGTTGAAGAAAGCATCCACTCTTCTCTCATGCAGTTTCGTCGTCGATTTTCATGAAGACATCTCATCATTATTTATCTGTTGGTAATAGAAAGAAACCATGCTATTGTTTCCTGAGTATCCTAGTTGCCTTTGTGCTAAAGTGAGAAAATAGAAACATATTAGCATGAATTCACAGATTTTGCTTGAGAAACCTTATCGATTCTTAGCAGGTGCGTGGAGATAAGACTACATGTTGTTTGTCAATCCATGCCAACTTTCTCGATGTGATAAACTCCAATATGATGCATTCATATACTTAGATGTAGTTTATTAAAGTGAATGAGTTTTCCATATATATATATATATATATATATATATATATATATATATTATGTATATATATATATATATAACATGTATCAACATTTGTCTGGGTGCAGTACCCCTTTTTTGAGGAATTACCATTTTCAGTAATGGGGTTTTCACCTATGGTCTGTAGGTTGAAAATCTGCTACTAAAATCAGTGTAAAGCTGTTTCAGTGTGCCAGAGTCATATGTTGATGCTGATTGAGTTCCGTTAGCAGTTCGTTTATAATAATCAGTGTCTTCTTTTCTTCAATCTTATTTCGGTATATGGTATTGTTTTTGTTTGCTACAGTTCTTCAGCTGCGAACCGGCGTTCTTCAGACTCCGAAAAATCTAACTACCAAAAATGTAATTCAGATAATTCACTCTATTCTTCAGTATCGGAAAAAGATCAAATCAATAGTGCTGATGACTGTTTAATATCCAATGATGTGCATAATAATGGATTTCATGGGGATTCACGGGATTCTTCAAGTCATAAGTTGTCAATCACTAATTGCTTTCAAAGTGTGATTGACATGGATTGTATTCCATTATCTGGTGAACGCATGGGTGGTATGGCTGCGTTCAACTCTTGAAAAATCTAGAAGAGTATGTTAGATTATAATCTTGATACTGTTTCACCTTCTTTCCTGACTTTTTTAGTGCTAGTTTTGACAAAGATTTAGTTTTTATTATGGATAGTGCTTTGATGTATGTAAACATTTTAACTGACGTATTCAGCTGTTGTTTTCGATTCAAAGACACGATGGCGAGAATGAAGAAGTGATGCATGGGGAATTTATTTTTTCAATGGTTGTAACTTCGAGATACGTAGTGCACCTTTAATATAGTCACAATTATGCGCATTCATAATCATTACTGCATTCATAAACAGTGTAAAATCAGAATTCAGAATATCCTTTTGGTATGCAGTTCATTGACACACACATACTTGATTCAGACATTGTATATTTCGCCTAGTTTTTTAGAGTCGTTTACTCTTTGATGACTATTTATCAGCAGCTTCCTTCCTTATTAATGGTGCCTTTGTTGGTGTTTTCAGTGTTGAGATATTGTACTTTCCGTACAAAGTATGTGACTCAATCGAGAAAACACCTGTTGGTAACCTGAGTTGGTCTTCCTAGCTGGTGTTCCTTCCAGGTTTAAGTCATCTTTTAAAGTAACATGCATTTTGCACCTGTCAAATGTAGGATGATGCTCCACTCTCAATTTAATGATAGGGAGTGAAGTGGTATAATGTGTCGACCACTTCACATACTTGGGGAGTTGTATCAGCTTGAACGGGCTGGTTGCTGACGAAATCTTTGCTCAAATACTAAAGGCCCGTTCGGCATTTGCCAACTCGCATCACCTATGGCGCCCATTGGCAAGATATCCGACTATCTATCAAAGGCTAAGTATGCTGCGCTGTGTCCTGTCATAAGGCTGAAACATAGCCGTTGAAAGTAGACGTTATGAAGCGGTTGCAGGGTTTTGATCATAGGTGTCTTCGTAGCATTGCTCTCGTTTGGGGGAATCTCCGTGACAGAGGAGATTAAAAACTAAGAAAGACAGACAAGTCGGTTGGTGAGGTTGTGAACTTTTATTTACGGAAGTAGTTTGGACATGAGTTGCGCATGTTGATCCACCAGCTACCTGGACGCGCAATGCTGGGAGATGTTGGATTAGGTTGGCGGATGGTTCATGGTGGTCAGACGAAGACATGGAACCAGTGGATGAAGTCTGTGACTGTTAGTCTGAGGCGTGTTGGAAGATGTAGAATTCCTGGTTTGGGGTCCTTGAGAAGTTAGGAATCAGTGATTGCAGAGCTTTGCTGACATGACTGAAAGTCGGTGTGGATGACACGGGTGTATTTACTTGTTGATACATTATAAAGCTTGAATATTTTTCCTTAGCTCTATATTCAGACTGTCTATTATCTCACAACTTTATCTGCTTTGATGTCACTTTTTCTGTCCGCCTGTTTTTGTATACTACTGTAAAGTGTGTTACCTTTAGCCGATGTGCCTGTGTGCGTGGTTCTGCCTTGATCTTGTCAGTCAGTCAGTTAAAGTAACCGACGGAAACAGTTTGTGAACTGCAGTGTGTTATGGGTCTGTATTGAAAGATCTGGGTATATATCTTAAATGTGTTTAGTGTACGTATATTTTCTGTATGTGTTATTCGATTCATCACGACCTCACACATTTCCCCTTCCTACCCTCTTGGTTTTAGATCATTTGATGAATTAATGCGACTATTCAATTCAGCATGTACAGAAGCGAAAAGTATTCATACATCTTTATCTGAGCCAACTTTCGATTATGCACGTCAATTCACCGGTGATGTTAACCACAAGTCACATGATAATGAAAATTTAAACAATGTCATTACATTAGGTGGAAGAAAGTTGGTCAGTTTTCAAGATCCACCTTACCATACGGTATATTGTTGCCTCGATCTATTTTTGTGATTGAGTGTTTAGTAGTCTATATTTTCTTATTACTGTTCAAGTTATCTTTTTTCTTGCAGAACCACCTTGCTGAGTAGTAAGCAACAAGAATGAACCCTTAATGAAGCAACGTATATTGTTAGTTATAAAGACGCTAGCTCATTACCTGAAGTTATCGACTTTCAGTCAAATTCTTAATGAGTTCGAACTGCATTCTAACTACTCGAGTTTGAGCATTCGCAAAACATGACATGGCGTCACAAAATACTTCATGAAAATCCCATCCTTGTTATGTTGTTAACGGATTAATGTCTAGCAGTAAAAACAGTGTACCACAGTGTTGTGTCACTAAACCCTAGTATAGTCTCATCGCCAATTTAAACCCTAGGGTTAAAAAACATATTTCCTAAGTATATGAATAAATAAATTTTAAAGTGGAAACATGAAGGTGTTGAAGCTTCAGAGCGATCTAGGGTGTGTAGGAATCTGGATAATTGTAACATCACTTTTCTCACATCACCTGAAATACCCGACTTTATATAGCCTAGACTGTTCGCCATAGGCTTTTATTATTATTATTATTTGTCCTTGGGTTCCTGATGGAACATATGGCTTCAGAAGCATGTCTCCAGTGCGCTCTGTTCTCTGAAATCGTTTGAACCTGGATCCACGACATCCCAGAAGCTCTCATTTCTTCCTCACACCATCTCCTCCATGTCACCCTCGGACGCCCAACTCGTAGCTTCCCATCTGGGTTCCACTCGAGGGCCTGACCTGGCGCATGATGTCTCTGATGGTCTTCTCAGTGTATGCCAATCCATCTTTACTTCCTTCTGCCGCACATTGTTGAGCGACAGGTTCTTGGTTGGTTCGTTGACAACCAGAGTTCCTTGCTGCTTATTCTTATTATTCTGGCCATCTGAGCTTCAGTAACGAGCCAGTGTAGGCAGTTGTTGATGAATGTCTGTAGTTTGTTGGAAATGCCTTTCGTAACGCACCAAGTCTCTGAACCATCACATAGAAGCACTGACTTGACACTAGTATTGAAAATCTGGATCTTGTTCTTTATTCTGAGTGCAGAAGATCTCCACACTGGTATCAGGTTAATGAACACCTGTCTTGCTTTTCCGATGCTGGCTGGCTTTGACGTCCTCGTCTGTGCCGCCGCCCGTAGTTGAAACAGTGCTGCCTAGGTAGGTGAAAGAGGCTACTTCCTTTAAGTTTCTCCCGTTCATAGCGATTGGTGCTTGCTAGCGTTCATTGTCTTCTCTACGTTGACTTCAAGTCCCGTCTTCGCTGCCCTACCCTGCCTCTTCTGTCAACTTGTTAGTTTTCTCGTGTAGATTTTTAAGTTTGTGCGACATCAGACACAAGTCATCGGCGAAATCCAAGTCTTCTATGTTCTTTTCCGCAGTCCAGCCGGCGTATCCCCCTCTTCTCGCTCTTCACTGTTTGTTGCATGATCCAGTCCAGTCCACTACAATCAGGAATGTCACGGGTAATAGTAGACAGCCTTGTCTTACTCCTGTCTTCACTTCAAAGGCATCATTGAGCTTCCCATTGTGAATTACTTGGCATGTGGCGTCTTCATATAGTTGTTGAGTGAGATTGATAAAAGTTTGTGGTATTCCGTAGTGTTGAAGCAACTGTCAAATTACTTCTCGGTCGACGCTGTCGAAGGCCTTTTCAAAGTCAATGAATTTGAGGTAGATGGTTGACTTCTATTGTATGCTCTGTTTTATGATGATGCGAAGCGTTGCAATTTGATCCGCACATGATTTGTACTTCCTGAATCCAGCCAGCCTGTTCCGGTCGTAGTTTTGAATCCAGTGCATGCTTTAGTCTCTCCAGGATGATGTGGCATAATATTTTGCTTGGGGTTGACAGGAGAGTGATTCCGCGCCAGTTCTTGCAAAAACGTAGGTCGCGCTTCTTTGGTTGTTTCACAAGGTAGGCCAGTTACCTTTCGTTCGTTCGTTCGTTCCTTCCTTCCGAACCTTCTGCAAAAGTTGTGTGAGCGTGTTCGCTGTTATTGTGTCTGCATCTGTTCTCAGTGCTTCTGGAGGAATCCCATCTGGTCCTGTTGCTTTCCCGGATTTCAGCAACTTTATGGCTTGGTGTTCATGACTTCACTTCTGTTTTTGTCGGATTGCTTGCTTCACTGACATTTCTGTGGCTGGACTGCTGGTGGTGTTTCTGGACGAGTTGCAGGTGGTGGTGGTTTTGGTGGTGATGGTGGTGGTCGATTCAAGAGGTTTTTGAAGTGGTCAGCTCATCGTTTCCTTCCATTCTCCTCTTTGGTGGTAACTAAGCTCCCTTCACTACCTTTTGTTGGCTTCATCTGCGTTGATATCTTCCATACCAGAAATAGTGTTGTCAAGTCTCTGTCTCGCCTACCTGCAGCCTTTTCTGCTTCACTTGCCAGTGTGTCTGTCGTAGAAGTGTGTTTTGTCATTGCACGCACTCCTCTTCACGTCTTTGTCCAGTGTAGTGTTTTATGCGTTGTGTTCAGTTCCTCTTTTCTTTGCTCATCCCTGCCCTGCACTGGTTCATCCTCTGATTCACCATTGCCATCTTCCTCCCCCTCCTCTATCAGCTTCCATGTGTTCGTCGAGATCGATTCCTTATCTCCTTTCTTCTTCTTCTTCCTTCCTAATACGGTTATGCAGGTTTCTTTCCACATTTATTTCAAAGAGTTCTAGTGTTCTTCCTTATCCGATGCTTCAGGGATGTTGCTCAATGTCTCCCATTTTGTCTTGATGGCTGTCGTGAAGATTTCGTTTGTAGTTTCGCCGTTCAGTTTGTGTTCTGTGTGTTGAAGTTGAACTGTGGTCGTCTATGACCAACTTCTGTGAAGGCTTTCAACTTGATTTTGAAGGCAGGTTCGTTGCACTAGATAGATAGTGAGTGGTGTGAACCTACATCTGGTCCCTTTGATCTTGTGTCGAGCAGGCTGCGTCTCCACTTTCTTGAGATTGAGATGAAGTCGATCTGATTTTCAGTGTAGTGTGTCCTGGTGTCTGGTGAAATCCATGTCGCTGCCTTGTGAATATTGTTGTGCTTGTACACGCTGCCTCCAATCACCAAATCGTTGAATGCGCAGACATCTGCGAACAGTTCTCCATTTTCATTCATCATTTCACCGAATGCTTCTCGACCCATGGTTAGTTCTCTTCCTGTGTTGTCCACTCCCAGTTTGGCGTTCATGCCACCCCACCCATTAGAATGAATTTTGATGTCGCCATCTGGGCTGGGGTCTTGTTGAGTACTGATTGCAGTTATCTATAGAATTCTTCCTTCTTCTTTTGATCTGCATTGTTTGTTGGCGCGTAGTATTGTATGATTGTGACTTTCCTTCTTTTTGATTTGAACCTTGCTGTTATGATCCTGGAGGAGACTGGTTTCCACTGCATGAGAGCCTTCGATGTTGTTGGGGACATCATGATCGCCACTCGAAAACTCAGTGTGCCGTGGTTGTCGTCTGGGTGAGAATATCGGAGTAGATTATTGACTCTCCATTCCATTCCATCTGCTTTTACAGATTCCAAGCACCATTCCGTGCCATACCTCCTCATCTCTTTTGCAATGGGGGCAGCCTTGGTAGGTTCATACATAGTGCGGACATTCCATGTCCTCATCCTTACTTTCGCTTTCATCGAGGAAGAGAAGACACATCGGCCCGGTCATTTGGCTTCCCTGAGGCTTTCAGCAACCGGCGTCATTTCGCCTCTCCGATTCCAGTGAGGAATAATGTTGTTTCTATTTTTATAGTTTGTTTGTGCTTTGAAGTTTGTTTAGCGGTTGGATTTGTTTTCTGGGGTAGGGTTGCTAGCGGTTTGCCCAACCTTCCGTCTTTGTCCGGGCTTAGGATTGGCTAGTAACTAGTTAAGCAGGCGAGGTGTCCTTAGGCTTCAGTGACGTTTAATTTCTAATCTGGTTAAAAAGTTCATGCGATGAGCATCAGTGCTATCACTAACTTGATATAACTTTTCTTTTTCTCTTCTGAGTCTTTTAAGTTGAAGAGAAATACTATCATAACGTAAAAATGTTTTTTCTGTAGCTCAATAAAAATCTAGTCAAAAGTTGAGATAGGATGTCACTCGATGGAGATTGTCATCCAAAACATCGCTTTTCAAATATGTTGTAGTCTATCTTGTAGCATACGTCTAAGTTGAAGTATATTTTCTGATTATTTTCTACTATCTCTTTTCTTTTATTGATATATTAAGGCTGTTTTGTTCAGTTCGCCATTTATTTTGAGCGAAACATATATGATTTAATGATCTAAATTAAGTAGTGGGGCCCTCTTACAAGTTCCGTACATATCAGTGACACGGTTTTGATGACCACAAGTTCTAAGATAATTGTGGTCGTAGGAATTGAAGTCATCATATACTGTCGACATGGAAGCACAAAGTATGGGAGTCGCAAATTCCGTGAACAAATCAGAGAAGCCAGATAATTCGAAGTAATTGCAACCAGGCGTCACATAAACACATAAACACAATGGTATCTGTCTAGAGGTTTTACGCGGTATTTTACGGTGATGCATTTGATATAATAATTTGAAAATTTGAAGTATCTGTGACTGAAAAGATAGCTACATCACCTTCAAATTTTTAGTAAAGTTACGTCGATCCTGACGGAAAAGTTTGAAACCATTAAGAGAAACTAAGTTGTGATCATGGAGATCATACAACTAACTTTCTTGCAATGTAATCACTTCAGCATTACGACACATATTAGAGGATAAAAACCTTGTAAGCAATTCACTTTTCCCTGCAAGAATACCTGCAGTTTGTGCGTAGAATTACAGACAGAGTCACTTCAGATAAGGTTATTCACTTCAAATCATGCTGCCATCCACCTTGATGTTTCTTCTTCATCTTATTTGATGAAAGCATTGTGATTGGTTGTAAACGTTTTGAAAATTTACGTGAATATATGGTGTGATCTGAGGGCATAATGCGATGATTGAAACAAACGGAAGC